GGAACACACAAGACAGTAATGAGAACTAAACACAAAATGGAAGAAGTAACACAAGGGTTAAAACTGACATACACGAAAGAAAGAAGGAATAGGAAAAAGACAAAAGACCGTGAGCAAGGTGGTCAGCTCCAGTGCAAAGCAATCAAGAAAAGCACTGAAACACCACATGACACTTTCAGACAAAAAACACAGGGCAGGAGCTGGCCTGGTGCAATTGAGAACCTCGAAGGGCCACAACATAGCTTTGTTGTGAAACCTTGATAAAGGTCTGAGAGACGGCACTCAGAGCAGATTAGTAAGAAACGGGGAAGGCAAAGACAAGGTGCAAGAACCGAGAGAGAATAAATTAATATTGGAGTAAGCAGTGATAGAACCTGAAGTGTAAGGGGAAGAAAAGAAAACCGAACCTCTTGGGAATGTAAGCAATATCAAAGACGGACAGGAACCTTCAAAACACTCACCTCTGACAGTTCTCATCCTCAGTGTTTGTCAGCCCTGGGACAGCATTGCTCAGTTGTCTCCATACTGCACTCACATCCCCTGAACCCAAAGCCCTGATCATCACAGCCACAGAAGAGAGCATCTCTACAGCAACAGATAATTCTGCATGGCTGAGGTTACCCTGCATACAAAGGGGAATACAGATCAATTACACTTGCTCTGCAAAACTACTGCTAGAGCACCAAGAGATTAAAACAGAATCTCACAGTGCCGAGTAGCTCAAGACTTCAAGATGAAGCATCCCGTCAGAACAGACTAAGCATCAAGGCAGTTCTACCAACACTCAAGACAGGCACGTTTAGTGAAACAGACAAGGCAGATTTGGTGATCCATATCAATTCACAGACATCAGAAGGCATTACTGACATCATGGCTTTGTTGCTGCAAGGCGGCCAGCTCCTTGGGATGAAGATCGGCAGCAAATGCATAAACCTCTGCTAGCTGGGCCTCTGGCTTCATCATTTCTGCCACAGTCTTCTCTGCATCACCCATTCTAATTGCTGCATTAGTTCTGCTCGCTGCTGCCAGCCCCAGCAGTTTGAAGAAGCAGCACATCAAAGAGGCAGCATGACAACAACGGCGGCAGACAGTTGGGCTCCCAGTCATGCAAGCACTTGTGCTGCATTCAATAGTAAGAACCTAACCTAAAAAAAACAACTTCATTCCCTTATAGGTTTTCCAATCAGTTATTTACCCAACTAGTCCTGCATTACTGTAAACAACCAGACTACACAAGGCCCTCTTTAAAGTAAGACTCATCTTTAAACCAGTTTACCTGTTGTCTGATTATCAGAGGACTGTCTCACCAACTTCTGCCAAGAAGAAGCCTCAAAACTGTCCATGTTTTCCATCGGTAGTTCATCACAGCTTTTCCTTCCAGTATCTATGACTGGTCGGGGCAGTACCAGGCATTCTACAGTGTTCTCTACACCCTACAGTGCTTGCACTTGAACACAGCACCAATGGGAAAATAAACACCAAGCAGCACGGAGAACCAGGAAGGCACTTGGAAGGCAACCTCCTAGTTCCTACACCTGCACCATCTCCCTCTTGTCATTTCAACCACCTGTAACCAGATCCCTATCAGCTTTCTTTTCATGTGTTCTAAATCGAACTAATTGCTATGGTACAGCCAGAATTAAACACTGAAAGCTTCTGGAACTTTCTCCACAAGAGAGTTTTGCATGGTGTCAGAAGCACCTGAGTAAAAAAAATCCAGCCACTGTGATCTACGTTTTATTTGCTATCTGATACCTAGAAACAGCCATGACAAAACAAGCTGAAAGTTCCATAGCTCAAATCAAGTAAGCCTTATGTCAGTAGTCAACAGGTCAGCTAGTTTTAACACCTCACGGAGCAACCCAGATTTCTGTCACAGTCCATGGAACAAAATTTAACACAAACTGCCTAGGAAAAGAATTATTGAAGGCAGACACAAGTCCCATGCTGCTCCGCATTTCATCTCATCTGCTGTTATCTCAAGCAGTATTTTGAAGAGCTCGACAGAAGACAGAGCCAGCTGTCAGGATTCTTTTCCATGTTCCCGTAGCCTCAAACTACTTGAAGAACATCCACGATAGTCTGACATAGCCCTGCTATAACCTCATGTGAACACCAACACTGCGCTTTCCCATCCTGCTGATCACACCCCACAGCAACAACAACATCAGCTCATTCAGTGCAAATAGCTGCGGGCCCCAGGCCTGGATGCAGCGCTGCACATGAGGCCTCAAAGGAGCTGAGTCGATGGGGACAATCACCTCCCTCTCCCTGCTGGTCACCCCTTTTGCAATGCAGCCCAGAACAGAGGCTTCATTTCTTATACAAATCCACATACCCACGCCTACAGTCCCCCCACAATGCACTACAGCTTCATATTCCTTCCTCCCTACAGCTCCCAACAGCCCCCAATAGTCCCCTATGACCCTATGGCCCACCACAGCCCCCTATCTCCCTATACACCACCCTTAGAGCCCCGTATCTGACTCTCACCCCCAACAGCTCCCCATAACCCCTACATCCCCTCACAGGCGCCTACAGCCTCACATCTCGCTATATCCCTCCCCCCCTCCCCCGCCCCCCCCGCCACCCATCGCCTCCCCGCAGCTTCCTAGAGCCCCCACAGCCCCTCTCCCCGCCCCGGCACCGCTCTCCCGCTCACCTCCGGCACAGCTGTCCTCAGCACTCGCTCCCGAGCTGCCGCGGCTTCTCTCTCGGTGCCGCCCGGACAGCTCCGGCTGCCGCCGCGGTCTCCTACGGGGCGGCACAGGCGGCTGCAGCGGCGCTCTGCGACGAGAGCCGCGCCTCCAACAGCCGGCCCCCAACGTTCGCTCCCGCGCACGGCGCCTCAGCCAATGGCAGCCGGCGGCGCTGCCGCGGACCGACGAGAGCCCGGGGGTGGAGCGGCGCTGCCGCGGACCAATGACAGACCGGGGGGCGGGGCGGCTGCTGGTCAGGGTGAGCTCCTCGTGCCTCAGCGCGGTGCTGGCAGATGTGGAGATGATCTGCATGGCCAGCTTGTAAGTGGGAGCCAGGAGCCAACGCAGCTGCAGGAGCAAGGTGCTAGGGAGCAGCCAAGGTGTCAAAACGCATCCAAAAGCCCTGGAAAGCATCACAAAGCCACAGCCAGGAAGCTTGCGTGATATGGTTTAGTGCTAGTGGTGGCAATGGTGATGAGGAGACGGTTGGACTGGATGATCTTAGAGGTCGTTTCCAACCTTGTGTGATTCTTGATTCTTGGGATTATCATTAGCCATATCCAGAATGCTAGAGATTGTCAGCTGCCATACCAAATCGTAGGCAGAGCTCTCGCTGCAGACAAAGCAGGAACAAACGAGAAGCTCTGCTGCACGCACTCCACAGCCATCACGTTGCAAGCTGAGGTGCCTTACTGTGTGTTGCATTCATCCCAGTCTCCTTGAATGAAGACTCCACAGGCACTCAAGGTGTTGAGTGAGTATAAGTGTGCTTTTATTAGTAAAGGAAAAGACAGCAGGGCGTGAGAGGTCCAGGTAAAGATGGAAATCGTCCTCTCTTGGGTGGAAAGCTCATGGACAGAGTGGCTCAGCGCTGTCAGTGTTGACGTCCGGTGCCTGGGACTGGAGGCCTGATTCTAAGCTCCCCTCCAAAAGGCTCTGCTGCTCCTCGCTGATGCTGACCTTCTCCTCAAAGGCGGTGCTGCTGTCGGAGCACTCGGGCTCTGCTTGGGCTGGGCTGCACTGCAGAGGCACCGGGTCACAGTCCAGGCTGATGCCTGTGGTGTCTGGCAGGCTCAGGTCAGCATCTTCAGCACAGCCGGGAGAAATGAGGGCTTCAACTTGGATGAGCTCCTCGTGTCCATCACTGTTGTTATGCGGCAGGCTGTCAGCTGAACCGCAGCCATTTGTGCTTCCCAAGAGCTCTCCATTGGTGGAAGCACACAGCCCAGCATTGCTACTTGTTCTGGCACATCTGGGTTGACAAGAGCTCGAATCACCTATAAAAGAATGAACAGGGGTTGGTGTCCAACTCTCACAAGCTGAATTACAAACGTGGTTCTTGATCAGGGGAGATCTGAAGGTGCTAGGTATGGGCTGGATAGCTAGAAGGAGATACAAGCCCACTGCCAGCAAGAATTCTACGTTGCTGAGAAGCAGGGTGTTGAAAGCTGGATTTGCACCCTTACCTGCCAGCACTACAACGTCTGTCTCTGAGGGCTCCCTGGGATGGTGCTGCCGTTGGTCTTTGGCCACAGAGGATGGTTTCCCCAGGCTGAAGCAGGAACAGCAACAGCCAGATGGTGATTCCTTCATCCTGCTGGGTGCACTTGGTCTGGAGAGAGGAAACAGGGAATGGTGTGAGTTGTGCGTGGAACTCCAAAAGCATCTCTGACTCTGACAGCTCATCGGCCCCATCTCACTGCCATGGCCAATGGACAATCCCAATGAAAGCCACAATGCTGTGCTCATTTGGAAGCATTTACTACTAACATCCTTTTCGTTCTCCAAAGTACGGAAATGTACAACACAAAACTGCCCATACCTCATGAAAAATGACACCATATACTTTGTTGCAGCTACTGTAATGCCCTAGAATATTGTAAGGGAAGTGAGAAGAGTAGAATTCTGCAAGCGGGCCTTTTCAACTTGGCACACTGTCTCTTTAAAAAAAGAGCAACTGACTCAGATAACACCAGCAAAACCAAGGTGCACCATTCAGCAGCAAGAGCATCCCAAAGCCAAGAAACCTAGGGGGCACAATGCCCAAGATATTAAAAGCAAAAGGAAAAGCAATAGGGTGACTTCTTCTGAACGCTGTAGTATGTCTCCTTTGACAAACATGTATCCAGCAATCCAAAGCACAGGGCAAAGTACTTTATACCCATAACAACAAATAGCCTGTCTACTTAAACTGCAGCTTTGAAACTTCTCTGCACACGTACAGCCAACAAACAACACTGAGATGCATCTGCTGCAGTCAGCGTGGCAGACAATGATTCACAGAGCTGCTCAGCTCCTTACCTTCAGAAGCTCATCCTCGCCAGCATCAGGAAACTTGTCATGCCGGGAGTCTTTCAGTACCTTGGCGATGAAACGCATCCCGTAACTTCAAAGGAAATAAAAGGCAAGTGAGAATTCCTCACGGATGAACCCACTATTAACTGCTGCAGGATAACGCGGTGACACACCAGACTTACGGGATTTGGTCAGCTGAACAACGATGGCAGACAGGAACTTGTCTGTCACTGCCTTCACATCTCGGATTGAGGCATCCAGGTGCGTCCTCACCTCACCGTGATTAAGAGCTTGTTCAGGTGTAACATCGTACGGCAACTTGCTATTTGGAAAAGTCAGATGTGAAGGTGAGCACTCCTCAGCCTAATATACTTTTGTCAGTGCCAGGCAGAATTGTTGGCTTGACACACAAACAGATCCACGCTCACCTGGCTGCAAAGAGCTGCACGCTTTCACTTTCATTACAATGCTAGCACTGAAAGAGCAAAGGACTTCTCACGTCCTCTGCTGTCCCTGCAGCAGTCGCTGTGAGAACAGGCCCAGCTAACTCTGAACTGTATCTTTCTGTACCACATGCAGACACGCTCTCTAGAGTCAAGAAGGTCACCTGCGATACGCAGTAGTACCTCAGGTCGCAAATAAATCAGTGAAAACACAAGCTGCACATTGCAGTGTTAAGATAGTAACTCACGCAGCGTGCTGCGCTGGGACAGTTGTCTTTTACTTCATAGCATTGCTTTTCCACCACTTCCCTTGAAGTGCCTTAAAAACAAAACAAATACAACCAACAACAGAATCCTCAAAATCTGGTCAACATCAAGCACTGGAAGAAACACAGAACTCTGACTGGGGACGGATGGGAGCCCATCAAGACTTTATAGACACAGATTAAAGGGAGGACAGGGACAGATGACGTAGCGGGGGATCTACAGGCCAACCAACCAGGATGACCACGTGGATGAAACCTTCTCATGGGCAGACAGGAACAGCTGCATGCTGTGATTCTATGAACACGGCCTGTGTTGAGAAGGAGCACAATGCTCATCTCGTTCCAACCCCCCGCTGCGTGCAGGTTCACCAACCAGCAGCCCAGGCTGCCCAGAGCCACATCCAGCCAGGCCTTGAATGCCTCCAGGGATGGGGCATCCACAGCCTCCTTGGGCAGCCTGCCCGAGTTGTGGGCAGAGATTGGCTTGGTAGAGTAAGAGCTACGGTATCTGTACCTATGAGTTAACACAGAAGAAATGCTTTGGGGCTTTTTTTGGCCTATCTCTTCATGAGATTCACTTCTCATAGTCTCAACACCCCTGTCACAAGATGATCTACTGCGTCCAGTTCTGGGCTCCCCAGTACAAATAAGACAGGGATCTCTTGGAAAGAGTCCAGCGGAGGGCCACGAAGATGGTGAAGGGCCTGGAGCATCTCTCCTATGAGGAAAGGCTGAGTGAACTGGGTCTGTTCAGCCTTGAGAAAAGAAGACTGAGAGGGGACCTGATCCAGGTCTATAAATATCTAAGGTGTGGGGGGCAGAATGGTGAGGCCGGACTGTTTTCAGTGGTGAGTGGAGACAGGACAAGGGGAAACGGCTGGAAACTGCAGCATAGGAAGTTCCGCACAAACATGCGCAAGAACTTCTTTACAGTGAGGTGACGGAGCACTGGAACAGGCTGCCCAGGGAGGTGGTGGAGTCTCCTTCTCTGCAGATGTTCAAGACCTGCCTGGATGCCTACCTGTGCGACCTGCTGTAGGGAACCTGCTTTGGCAGGGGGGTTGGACTCGATGATCTCTGGAGGTCCCTTAAAACCCCTACAATTCTGTGATCTTTATACCTTTCAGAAGAAAGCCATCTCGAGCTGATGGAAAAAAGCTGGTAGCAATTGGACAGATGCATGCAATGAATACAGGGATGGTTCGGAACGATTAACAGAGCAATGCAAAGCAGCTGAGCAACTTTCAGAAAAAAACAGTAGCAACAGCTTCCATACCCGGCCTCACCATTCTGAGATCCCATCTGGTTCACCCAGCACTTGTAAATATCCACTGGATCCGTTCTGACGTTGAGCGATTCGCCCTCAATTATTTCCTTCACAACTGGGGCCAAGATCTGCCTCAGTGCGTTCTGACCACGGGCACCACGGTTGAAAGAGCGCATCTCAAAAATACAGAGGAAACAAAGGGACTTCTACACAGGCACAACTATTTCCTCTCAGTATTTCAACAAGTAAGCAATCAGCAACAAGAGCCATTCACAGCATGCCGCTATGGGAAATCCAGCAGCAGAGAATAAAGCATAGACATGCACTTTCCTGAACTACTGCTCCAAGAAAAGATAATAATAATTAAACAAACCTTTTAGGCGTTACCTGTTGGAGGGCACATACCATCCTCATACTTAAAAACATCAAAAAAGGCATGACTGCCTCCAACATTACATGTATTTGCTATTCCTAGCAAGTTGTGAAGCTCCGTATCAGCCAGAAGTCATAAACACCAAACTCCTAAGTGCCAATCAACTCAATTATGCCGACAGACAGCCAGAATCCTTAAGCCTGACAGCCAGGAAAAAACCCAAACCAGACAGCATCTGATTTTCAGCCTCCTCATCAGTTTTGGAAAACAGTGACCTTCGCGTCAGCTTCACTCTGGCCTGTAAAGCCCAAGCTCGCAGTCTGTGCCAAGTCCTTCTTACTAGACAGCAGAGAACTTAGATGGGAATGAATCTTAGGAAAGCACTGCAGTAGATCAAAAACAGTGCCTCCCTGAGCAAGAAAGCACTGGCTAAAGAAAAATGGCTTTAATCCTAAAGAACAAAGGTAATTCCTCCTCCTTCCAGGTTACAGAAAGGACTGACGTGAAACAGCATGAGCAGAAGGCAGGGACAGTTCAGCATTATCAGCTAATGAGCACGGGACATCACACAACAACAGCTGCAATTTTAGCAGCGGCCCAAACTCAGGCAACAGCAAGGCTGTGTCCTATGCTACAACGTACTTGATCTCTTCCTGCAATGCTGTTTGCAACAGCCGCAACAGCAGAGATTCCTCTCTCTGACTGGATGCGTAGTTATGCAGCGTGAAGATGGCTGAATCCATGAACTCTGTGGGGTTGTTTTGAGGCATCTGCAAAAGCAGCTTGGCCAAGTACGTTGGAGTAGTCTAAAACAAGAAGAAAAAGTACTTAGTGCACGTGTATAATCAATGACTATTAAGATGTTGTCATTATGAAATAAACAAAAGAGTTTGACAAAGCAGACTAAGCTAACAAAAGGAGAATAAATAGAAGGCTTACCCCTATCCTGGGCTCACTTACAAAACTCCAGCAGAGCAGATCTCCAGACGAGATCCTTCCCCACTGGCAGCCAGCTCTTAAACAGGTCTAGGAGGGCTGTAGCCTGGCTGCACCCCTTCCAGCAGCACAGCTGCATTGCCTTCACCTGTGCTCCTCTGCCTGACTCACTGCTCGCCTCAGGTGATCAATCAGAGGTTCAGGCCATGACTCAGCAGTTCCCATACAGCACGTGTCCACAAAAGCCAACACCACAAAGACAGACAGCGCCTCAACACTGCAGTGCAGAAGTACAGACTGTTCCAATACACGTAAGCATCTATGACAAGAGCAGTGAATGAAAAGCTGCATACCTCAAGTAGAAAAGATGCTGATAGGCTTCCAGCTTTTCCCTCTCCTCTTTGCTCAAAGCTTGCAAACCTCCCTTTTGCTCGTTCAGCGTCATCACGTCACAGAGCTGTTCCTTGTTCTCCTTGCTAAGATTTTTGCTATGAGAAACAACATCCTGCAAAGAACACAGAGGGACAGATTCCACATTTAAATAACACGCAATATGGGAAAAAGCTGCACGATAGCACTTCCTTTTGGGTGGATAAGGCAGTCAAGGTACATCAGGAGATCATGAAGTGAAACATTATCTGTTGTAGCAGCGATTTCTGTCTTGTCCCCACATTCCAGAATTGGGTGAGAACCTACAAGGACTAATTGCTTTGAGCAGGGACTACTGTCACAGCTGGTAGCGTTCTGAAGATGCTTGAAAATGCCTTTCTTTCTCAACTGTGCTTGAAGCCCCAAGCCCTGTTTCCATTTTGCTGACTCCCTGCCTCCACTGCTCTGATAACTATGATACTTTTTGCTGCCAGCATCAGCCCAAGAGCTGGAGCCTCCTTTGGAACTGAACTTCACTGCTGCCATGGTTCAGATTTTACACAAGGTCAAGCCTAGCGCCACGCTATTCAGGACCAAAGGAAAAGGTGACTGTAACTTCAGCTTGAGTTAAAAAAAGGCACCGCTGTATCAGCAACGTTGTTCTTGTGTGCAATCAATCGTCAGCAAAGTGACAGAGGGGGCTTCCATCAGCCAACCAACACCAAGCAGTCTGAGCACATTTCCTGCTCCAAAATCACCTCCCCCTTCTGATACAGCACACAAAACGTGAGAAGAAATTAAGGTGTGCAAGTCCATGACTCACGTAACCACAAGTGAAGAGACAAACAGTTCTCAGAGCCTTCAAGCATACCATCTATTGCTTTCCCTTGGTCCCGAGTGGGTTTTTTTCTGGTGCTTTGTTTTTAAAACACTTGAAGCCTTGATGTTTCTGCTGCAGTTCTCTTTCTAGGGATACATAGTAATAAGTGGAACAGTTAGGAACTTACTGGGAGGAAAACCTGTAACTCGGGGGGAAATACTTCCCACTGCATCTGAGTAAGTGAGATCCAGGCTCAGAAGGTCCTCATGCTAACTGCCATTGGCCTCAATTCACTCTGCTCGTCTCCCAGCACTGCATTTCCTACCTGCAGTGTCATTCTGTTCTTCACTAGCAGTCCAATCTTGAGGTCCATGAGATTGAGGTCATTTTCAAGCTGTTGATTAGATCGGATCAAGGTCACAGCTTCCTCACACAGTTTCATTAGCTCCAGCTCCTCCTGAAAATCTGGGTCCGATCGAGCAAGTGAACCAATTTCCCAACCACAGCCGTAGGTGGGTTTTCAGCATTAACTAAAAACAAGAGACAAAACAGCAGAGGACAGGAAACAAATTAATGCATGTGTTACCTCTGTGCAGACAGCATGTCAAGCAGCAGCCAGTCCAGGATCAAATTAACACCAATGGGCTTGAATAACTCCTGACAGCATCCGGAACTTCTGGCATGGAATAAATCACGACAGAAGTCAACGCTATAGGATGAAGTCAGTATCAGCTTAGGGGAGTCCACCTTGCTGAACTTACCCCAAAGATCAGCGCTCCTATTTCCCAGCAGCAAAAGTACTACCGTGAACCAACTTTGCACAGAATCACAGAATGTCAGGAATTGGA